ATGTGTGCCGGAAGTAAGCAAGCTACATTATAGGTTATGGAGATTCATTTACTTTTGGTTTCTTTGTACTTTGTGGCTCGCAGTTTGACTTTCTTCTTCAAAGCCGAGACGCGCTTTCGCTTCATCGACGGTGACTCAGCTGCCTGCCGGATGTTGCGATTTACGGCTTTCTGCCACAATCGCTGCTGAACTTCAGGTGTGTGCAGCAGCTGCCAGCACGTGAGGGCTGTGGGTTCCCTGTTTGTGGCACAGACCGGCACCAGACAAATAGAACAGTATTTGGTAGTTCCCCTGTTCGTATTACCAACGCACACGAAGCATTTCTTCACGTTGCGTTTTGCTCCGGAGTAGCCTTCTCCTATCTTGAACGGGACACATTCATGCCCATCGCCAAACACAACGTTGTGCGTAGCGACATCATTCTCCATGCTGACAGAAAGGCCAAGTGTGAAACGACCAGGTAGTTTTTTATAATTTGCTACTTCGCAAGTATACAATATTGCAATAAGATAAGGTTCATCGGCGAACGTTACTTGTACGGTTTCGTACAACAGAAATACACATGTAACTTAACGTAACTTATTTAACTCATTTATGTAACTCTTGGGTAGTTTTTTACAAATTGCTACTCCATAAGTATACGAAACTTCAATGTAACGATTGAAGTATCCAAGGAAACTCTACATGTCGTATATCATCATTACACCCATGACCGCGTTTCGCCACGTTCACACGCTACCAAGTGCCGAGTTTCCCTCGTTCCGACTTACACTACCTCGCTTTGGTGTATCACATTCTAACAGCGAAGCATGCACATTGGTTCATGTTGACGAGCACGACACGCGCCTTGCCCAGCCTCATCAAATGAAATCACAGTACACTAGGTGCACCAGCCGAAGATGTCACACCAACGTCGAAGGCATACCGCGGTGTGAGGCTGCGTACAAGATCCAAACTTGTCTTGTGTCCAATACTACTGTTGTCAGTATGTGTGGATACCACCGGATGGGTGAGGATGGAATAGCATCACCGGTCAAGCCCCATGTACGAACTTGGGTGGTAACAATTCATAACAATAGAGAGGTTTTGCAACTCATCCGTACATTACCCCCATCCTCACAAAATCCACATTTGTCGTTTTGAGGGTAATGACGATGATGAAGTATTATTGTGTTTTGCAATTTATCCCCATCATTATCCCCGCAACAGCATCCGGATAATACGGTTAGTCGGATATGTACAATTAGCAGATGCCCACGGACCACACGAAATGGCCACGGGGTTGGCGTGGCTGTCGTGTGACGTCGCACGCAGGATGCACATACACCGCGCTTGACCTCATCGGCATCGTTGTGTCGTTCATTGGTCCAATGAACGTAAACCGGATGTCGTTGTTCAAGCAGGACTCCGAGTCGACCGACGGCGCGATGGTCGGTCGAAAGGGCAGCAACGCATTCGTGTTGCCTTTCCCTTCCATAATGTAACATTAACAGCTACAGTACATAAAAATTTCAAGGTCGTCAGTGGTTTCGGCGATTTGGAGATCTAGCAATCTCTCCACACCAGCCTCATCAAATGTGGAGGACCTTATGCTTCCAAATGGCTGCGCTGCGTAGTCATCTGGATGTCATTCGACGAGGTCACGTCCATTGTGTGTTAACATCAGTGGTAACGTCATGGTAACGTAGACCTTGGAATTCACACACAGGAACGTACTGGTAACTTTGCACTGTTAGTTCTCCACATCTGCAAAAGTAGATACATGAAAGCATGTAGCTAAACCACAATGACTACGCAACTTAACACTAGTTCTGTGTTGCCACACTCTAGTTTGTGAACACTGGTCAAACGATCAATGCCAGACGGGACACAAACCAACAAACTTCCTCCTGCTGTACTGTGGAAATAGAAGCTCCTGATTGGCTTGGTCGAATGTGATGATAAAGATAACTGTCCGTACAAATCGCCAAATCCACGACCTTGTCATTCGTTTTCACAGTATCATTAATTAAGTTTGAGAGGTACTTCCGGTTTTGTCAGTAGTGGCTGAGGGTAATGATAAAGATGAGTTGCAAAACCTCTCTAATGATTCTGATATTTGCATCAATAGGTGACCGAAAACATGTTACACGACTTGCGGTCATGGATCGGCGAAGACCCCAAACGTATGCCGAAGACCCTGTTCAAGATGCTGCGCGTACACCATCAGTCGGGCAATTATGGTGATGCAGCGTGTCCTACTCTCCGGCAAGTGCAACAATCCATCAACTACGTGCGAACCAAGGAGTTGCACCACAAAAGTACTGTGCCGGCTGTTGAAGAAGCGTTGCAACATTGGGTCCTGCCAACCGCACAAGAAGATCAAGAAATCCATCACCCATTCGTATTTGGCGTGGAAAAAGTTGATGGCAAGCCCCGCGTAGGTAATGGTGGCCTTCAGTCGTTTCGTGTCGGTACGATATTTCAATGCGGTCTAGATAATGACACGTGTAATGATATTGTATACGATAACAATGTTATGCATTCATATTCGTACATAGGGTTTACGACGCTTGACGTCATGAATCGATACAAAACGACTTGCGAAGATAACCCCCGCCGCAAGATCTTGTGCCATGTCGACACGACATTTTCGACTAACAAGTCAGGGTACCCAGTATTCGTATTTGGGTACTCTGATATGGCTGGCTCGTTCCATGTGCTCTGCATTTGCATCACATCACAAAGAACTCATGACGACGTGGCCTGGCTGTTGAAGTCACTGAAGAAAGAGTTTGAAGACCAACTCGACTTTGCGTGGGAGCCACGATTGCTCATGGGTGACGCCGATAAGGCTCAGTACCTCGGAAGGACGACAGCCATGGACCAGCAGCTGCCAGAGATAGAATATCTCATGTGCTTTTACCACGTCATCAAAAAGGTATGTCTGATATAAATTGACTCACGTATGCATGATATCATTACATACGGCTCATCT